GTTGTACTGGAACACAGTCCCACTCATCTATATATTGTCCATGGCTGCTTTCATGCTGTAACAGCAGAATTATGTAGTTGTGATGGTAATTTGTGACCTGCAAAGGCTAAAATACTATCTGGCCCTTTACAGATGAAGCTTGCTGATCCCTGTTCTAAACAGTAGAGTGAAGTCTAAAGGGGCTAGAGGCTGCTGTGGATTACATGACATTTAATAAGGGCCTAAAATGACAGAGAACTCAGTAGTCCACAGGAACCGACCGATGAAACTTAGTCACTTTCTTTTCAGGGAGAGAATACTTGGGGGGGGGGGCGGCGGGGAACAGGGACAGGTTTCAACAAATGGTGCTAGGATAAATGGATATGCAAAAGAATGAAGCTGGACTCTCTCCTCACACCATATACAAAAATAACCTCAAATGGATTGAAGGCCTAAATGTATAAAAGTTTTAGAAGTTACACAGTAGCAAATATTTATGACATTGGTTTAGGCAATGGATTCTTAGATATGAGGCCAAAATTAGAAGCAAAAACAACCAAAGAGAGATATACTGGATTTTATCTAAATTAAAAACTTAGGTGCTCCAAAGGACACCATAAAGAAAGTGAAAAGACAACCCAAAAATGGGAGAAAATAACTGTATATCATATATCTGCCAAGGGCCTAGTATCTAGATTATATAAAGAAATCTTACAATTCAACAATAAAGACAAACAACCCAATTAAAAATGGGCAAAGGAGAAGAACAAAGCTAGGAGTCTGATGCTACATGACTTTAAGATTTAATACAAAGCTACAATAATCAAGGCAATGTGACATTGGTGAAAGAATAGAAAACAGACCAATAGAACAAAATAGAGCCTAGAAACAGACCCACACAAAGAAAATCAACTGATCTTTGCCAAAGGAACAAAAGCAACTGAATGGAGAAAGGACAGTCTTTTCCACAAATGGTGCTGGAGCAACTGAATATTCACATGCAAAAATGAATGTAGCGACTTCCCTGGCAGTCCAGTGGTTAAGACTCCACGCAACCAATGCAGGGAGAGCAGGTTTGATCCCTGGTAGAGGAACTAAGATCCCACATGCCACGAGGCATAGCACCCTCCCCCAACCCCGCAAAAAAGAATGTAGACAAAGGTCTTAGACTTTTTACAAAAATTAACTCAAAATGGATCATAGACTTAAATGTAAAATGCAAAACTATAAAACTCCAAAAGATAACACAGAAGAAAATCTAGGTGACCTTGGGCTTCATGATGACATTTTAGGTACAATATCAAAAGCATGATCCATGAGGGAATTCCCTGGCGGTCCAGTGGTTAGGACTCTGCGCTTCCAGTGCAGGGGGAGCGGGTTTGATCCTTGGTCAGAGAACTAAGATCCCACATGCCACACAGTGAGGCCAACAAAAAAAAAAACCATGAACCATGAAAGAAAAAATGGATAGGATGGACTTCATTAAAATTAAAACTTCTGCCCTGTGAAAGATACTGTTAAGAGAATGAAAAGAGAAGCCACAGAGACTGGGAGAAAAATATTTGTAAAACACATATTTGATAAAGAACTAGTTTCCAAAATATATTTTAAAAACTTCTTAAATCTCAAAAGCCTAATGAAAAAATGAGCAAGAGATCGGGACACTTCATCAAAAAAGACAGAGAGATGGCAGATAAACATATGAAAAGATGCTGAACATACATCTTTAGGGAACTGCAAATTAAAACAACAATGTGATAATATCGCACACCTATTAGAGTGACCAAAATCCAAACCACTGACACCACCAAATTCTGGTGAGGATGTGGAACAAAAGAAACTCTCATTCATGCTGGTGGTGATGCAAACTGGTGCAGCCACTTTGGAAGACAATTTGGCAGTTTCTTATAAAGCTAAACATACTCTTACCATATGATCCAACTATCACACTCCTTGGTATTTACACAAATGAGTTAAAAACTCCTGTCCACATAAACCTGCACACAAATGTTTATAGCAGCTATTTTTGATAATTGCCAAAACTTGACAGTAACCAAGATTTCCTTCAACAGGTGAATGGATAAACAATCTGGTAGATGCAGACAATGGAATATTATTCAATACTAAAAACAAATGAACTGTCATGCTATGAAATGACATGGAGTAACCTAAGTGAAAAATCCAACCTGAAAATGTTACATACTGTATGATTCCAACTATACGACATTCTGAAAAAGGCAAAACTATGAAGACAGTGAAAAGATCAGTGGTTGCCAACAATTTAGAGGAAGGGAGGGAGGGATGAATAGGTGGAACATACGGTATTTTTAGGGCACTGAAAGTATTCTGATGACACTGTAATGATGTCACATATAACATTATATATATAATATTACATATTTGTCAAAACCCGTTCTAGGTATGCATTACTGCACTTTCTGCACTTACATTAGGTTCACAAAGAATGAACCTAATGTAAACTATGGACTTTTAGTAACGATGTACCAATACTGGCTCATCAACTGTAACAAATGCACCACACTAATGCAAGATGTTAATAGGGGAAACTGTGTGTTGGGAGGGGTGGGGACAAGGGACTATACAGGAACTCTCTGTACTTTCTGCTCAATTTCTCTGTAAACCTAAAACTCCTTGAAAAAACAAAATCTATTAATTTTTTAAGGTGCAAAGGATTTCAACAGGCATTTTTCCAAATAAGATATACAAGTGGCCAATAAGCACATGAAAAGATGCTCAACCTTAGGAGCTACTAGGGAAATACAAATAAAAACCACGAGATAGCACTTCACAAACACTAGGCTGGCTATAATCAACAAGAGGGACAATAACAAGCGAAAGATTGGATTCCATCATTTTTGGCCATGCTGCGCGGCTCGTGGGACCTTAGTTCCCTGACCAGGGATTGAACCCTGGCCATGGCAGTGAAAGCGCCGAGTCCTAACCACTGGACTGCCAGGGAATTCCCTGGATTCCATCTTGTGCTGTTGGTGGAAACATGAAATGGTACATGTACTATGGAAAACAGTTTGGTAGTTCATCAAAAAGTTAAACACAGGGACTTCCCTGGTGGTCCAGTGGTTAAGATTCTGTGCTTCCACTGCAGGGGGCATGGGTTTGAACCCTGGTTGGGGAACTAAGATTCCGCATGCCACAAGGCATGGCCAAAAAATTAATTAAAAAAAAAAAAGTTAAACACAGAGTTACCATATGACCCAACAATTCCACTCCTAGGTACATATATTCAAGAAAGGTAAACAGTCACAAAAGATTTATATATGAATGTTCACAGCAGCATATTCATAACAGCCAGAGTAGACACAAACCAAATGTCTATCAATTGATGAATTGATAAACAAAATGTGGTATATCCATTCAATGAAGTATTATTCAGCCATAAAAAGGAATGGTACAACACATTTGAGCCTTGAAAAAATTATGCTAAATGAAAGAAGTCAGATACAAGGGGCCATATACTGTATGATTCAATTGACATGAAATGTCCAAAATAGGCAAATACAGACAGACAGAAAGTAGAAAGTAGATTACTGGTTGCCAGGGACTATGGGTAATTGGGAATGACTGCTAACGGATATGGGGCTTCTTTTAGGGGTGATGAAACCATTTTGGAATTAGGTAGTAGTGATGATTGTATAATCTTGTGATTATACTCAAAACCACTGAGTGGTATATTTTAAAATGATAAATTTTATGGTACATGAATTATATCTTTTTTTTTTAAGATTTTTTTGATGTGGAACATTTTTCTCTTTTATAAGTCTTTATTAAACTTGTTACAACATTGCTTCTGTTTTATGTTTTGGCCCCTTGGCCACGAGGCACGTGGGACCCCAGCTCCCTGACCAGGGAACAAACCCACACCCCCTGCAATGGAAGGCTAAGTGCAGCTTCCACTGGACTGCCAAGGAAGTCCCTGTGAATTATACCTTTATTTTTAAAATATGTAAAAGGATTTCTGGCCAGTTCTGGGCAGTTTTGCTTCCTTTTATCCCCTTAGTTCATTGTGTAATTAAATAAGATTGACGATCCTTTTCAGGGTATGTGGTCTGTTTTATAGTTTACTGAGAAATGATCCATTTACACAAGCAGTAATAAATTGATTTCAGGGGAGAAAATGATTTAGCAAAGAATATACGGGAGGATTGATCCTCTCATCTCTCACTAGGGTATAAGCTCTTGAGAGCTGGTATGCTTACACAATGTCTGATTAGGAAAACAGTACCCATTATTTTATGAACAAGCCTTGAATAAGTGGCAAGTCCTCTGAGGTGGTAGTGGGTCATACAGCAACTTTTAAGCAAAAAGAGGCAAGGAAATTATTTGGATAAACCTCTGAGAGTCAACTTCATCTTTTAAGAGTTCAGCAGTACCTTCTTGAAAGATCAATCCCCTCAGTGCTGCATCTCCCAGAGTGACTGGACTGGGTGTCAGTCTCCATGTTTGGGACATAACTTAACTATCCACTATACATTTAATAACTTTTGCAGAGGCCAAGGACAACATGGAAATAAACAGATTTTTTTTTTCTTTTTAAAGAATAAAACAGTCACCTGGTCAAAAACTGAAGCCATACAGAAGGACATAAAATGAAAAGCAAGTCTCATAGACTCCCAGCTCTCCTTTCCAGATATGATCCTGGTTAAGTTTCTGTGTAAATTACAACCTTTTATTTCTGAAATGTTGATTACTAATGCTATGGGAATATTACAAAGACCATATTTCTTATAAAGGTTAAGTCTCCTAGAGCCTGTCTGACTTAATCAGAAACTTAATCAGAGGCTAAATTCAGGTCCCAAATAAAGAAACTTAAAATTTTCTTGAAATCCAACACAAAATTTAGATCTAAATAGATTCAACTTAAGAAAAAAATTAAAATTAAAAAAATACATATATATGTTAGCTTTTAAGTCAGATTTCATTTCACTTCTTCCTATCCATAGCAAAACAAACTCTTCAAAGATTTATAAAAATAGCACAAGTTGGCAGTCACCTGCAAACAATTTATTATTAACTAATTAAGCCCTAAATCCATGAAGAAAAAGCACCTAACACACTCAAGGTCAAAATGCAACAAAAATAATACAAGCACATGCATGCCTTGACAAATCAACAGCTCCTGGTAAAATTCCTGATACTCAAAAGAGAGATTTAAAAATAAATGCCCTGGGCCTTTATCACCTTCTGAGATGACCCATACTCTGTCTGTGGAGTGTGTTTCTCTCTAAATAAATCCACTTCTTACCTATCACTTTGTCTCTCACTGAATTCTTTCTGCAATGAAAAATAAAAATATAAATGCCCTGTACGTGTATGGCTGATTCATTTTGTTGTGCAGTGGAGGCTAACACAACATTGTAAAGCAAACATACTCCAATAAAAATTAATTTTAAAAATATAAAATAAAAAATAAATGCCCTGTTAATTTCAATGTTGCCTGTAAGCAGATCTCAACTGATCTTTAGATGATAAGGTTAAGATGAACATAACTGCCTATTGGCAGGGGTGGTGGGGAGGCTGAAATAACCTGGGAATTCCAAGGGGTGGGAAGTAATCCAATTAACAGAAGCACTGAAAATGTGATCTTACAACATGAGTACCAATTTGAAAAATTAATGTCTATGGGCATTTTCTTCCCCAAATAGGGAGCAGAGTGAATATGGGAAATTAATTTTTAACAATATTCCTAGGATCTAAGGCAACTACATGTCTGGGGCTACTAAACTCTCCAAAGCCTGAATATTAACAAGTTCTTCACATGGTAATTATTCTAATATTTTAAATTCAAAAACTGATGCAACAGTCAACAAATTCAAATTCTTATTAATTAACCTCTAGCTCTTCATATTCCATCCACAAAAAGAGCTACATAACTGTACCCTCTCCATTTTTGGGTTTTTTTTTGTTTCGAGCCACAATTTGCACCTTGTGGGATCTTAGTTCCTCGACCAGGGATTGAACCCATGCCCTCAGCAGTGAAAGTGCAGAGTCCTAACCACTGGAACCCCAGGGAATTGCCCTTTTTAAAAGATGCAAACAATTTGCCCATTGTGCAAATGAAGCTCACCTGGCTTCAACAGGCAGAGCCTGTCACAGGGCAGGAAACTGAAGGTATTCAGAAAGGCAGGTGACACGGTCATTCAGTCTGGAGTGCCTCTTTTCAACTGGAGTGAGCTGGTGCCCTACCATTTAAGACTAATTAGTGAGCTGTAAACAAAGCCCATGCCAGCAGAGGAAAGGGGCCTTTAGACCTAATGAAGAGTTGTCCAGGCGTTCTCTTATCTCTGCTGTTCTCAAGGAAAAGATTCCTCTAAGGTGAACCCAGTTCAGTGGCTCATTTTAACTTAGAGCAACTATTTGCTGCTTCGGGAGTTTTTAGTCGTCCAACAGGATTCTCGTAACTCAGCTCTCATCCTAGCAGTGCTCTGCATGCCTGCTTGGGAAGCTCCTGGGGAAGCAGGTGAAATTAATTAGGATATGGCCCATCAAGGCCAGTGCAAGTATTTTACCAGCTGTGTACAGGGACCTTCCCACAACCATGGCAAAGGCCACAGAAGAAATATTTTTACCACAGAGAGTTCCATAGTATTGTCCTCTTGGACTCACTCTTCCTCTCTTTAGCTCTCTGCCCTGACAACCTCAGCCTATCCACCATGTTTCTTCTTTCAGAGGCACAAGGATTTCTTTTTAGCTTGTTTTTGAGAAAGGCTTATTTTTGTGGTTTACCCAACTAACCGGGAAATCAGGCCTGTTGGGATAGAAGGTAAAACCAAATAAATAATCCTCTGAACGTCTGGGAAATAGCTGCTGGGTCTTTCAACTTCACGAGACACTTGGGCCAGTTGTGCTCTTCTATGCTGGGTCCTCTTCGTCCATTGTCACGTCATCGCTGGTATTTTGCTTCTGCTCAGCCTCTGGCCCCGCAGGGAGGATGCTTGTGACGGTGTGGAGCAGAGCTTCTATCTGCTCCTCTGTCAGCCGTTCTTCACTCTCCTCCACCATCTGCAGAAGGAAAAAAAACCCTCCAGGAGTTACAATGGGGCCTCACAGACAGGGCCCTGCCCATGTTGTTCCTGGTCCCGGCCCAGCCCCTCAGCACAGAGCTCAGGGCCTAGCTCCTGAGCTGCCCAGGGTCTCTAGGTCCTTTCCATCTTGGCTCCACGGGAGAGAGAAGCCAGCTCAAATTCCAGGGTAAGCTGATGTGGCCGCTCCAAACGGGTCAGTGAAAAAAGCGAGTTGCAGGTTAGCATTTTTCCTTAAAAAGCAAAGCCTAACAGTTCTCTACTCACTCATACACACACATGCGTGCACACACACACACACACTCATACACACACACACACACACATGAATATGCTGTTTATGCAAAGAAAACTCACCTCTGGGGAGAGAAATGGCATTTTATATACTTTTGTATATAACAACAAGCCCATCTGTAACTTATGAATAGTATCAACAACTCATTTGATGACTGCCCGCTATGTGCCAAATGGCCTGTATATTTTTCTATTCCTCACTACTACCAACACTGACAAGACCCATCAGGGAGCTCTTGCGCCTGGCACTGCGCCTTGCACTTCACACCCATTATTTCTTTTAAACCTCACAGCAAGTCCAGCAAAGGGCAGAACTACAATCCCAAGCCAGACCTGCCCATCTCTAACACCTACAATCTAACACACACACCGTGGCCTTGGTCATCTCCTGGGAATGCAGGAGTCTGATGAGTGATGGCTGGGAAACAATCTCCCACCACCCCATCAAAGGTCCACTTAGAGCCCAGTTTCTGACATGGTCCTGGATATCTGAACACACAGATGATATCCACGATTTGTAGCCTCACCTCTAATTCTCAATATGTTAATTAATACAAACATGATGTCATCAACCACCTCTGTAAAAGCAGTATGCAGGCGGTCAAGTTACTTAACCACGCTCACTTGGTGGCATCAGCCATCTATCACAAATAGCTTTCTCAGTTAAAGGTGTCCAGGGTCCTACCCTGTGGCATAACAATCTCTGAAATCTGGCAACTAAGACCAAAAGGAGTTTCAGAAAGAAATCCTGGCAGATTTGAGTAAAGCATGATGACAAGCTTGGCTCACAATCCTCAAAAGGACTTCAGTCTGACTGCCTAGCTTCACAGACAACAGTACAGAATCTAAAGAAGCCAGGTGACATGCCCAAGATCAAAGTCCTGGCAAACCACTGGTCTCTTCATTCACCTCAGTCCAAAAATGTTTCCACAACTAGAGAAGAATCCTGGGTGTTCTAGAGTAAAGATCCAGGTGAACCAATGGGGCTTCTTCCCATCATACTGTGAAATAAAATGACCATATTCTAAAGATTCAAAGGTTCCATGTAACTTCTCTACTGAACAAGAAACAATCCTCAAAATCCCACTTTTACAATCAGCCATGTAAAATTACGGTCTGTAAAAGGAAATACTCTAACATACACTGCCTCCAAAGAATGAAGGAGGAGGAAGGAGGGATATATCTGACTTGATAATTTAATCTTGAGGAAAAAATGATCTCTATTTGGGAGAAAAGTGTCTCCAAGTTTATGAATAACTGGCACACACAGTTGATGATGAACTGTTTCCTCAGGGGAAGAGGTTGAAGGAGACTTAGACTGTTGTTAGACCAGTGACAACCTCCCTCCATTATCTGTGCTCCACAGTGGACCAGGGGTTTTCCTACAATCACTGCCACCAGAGCTTCTCTTCTCAATGATGCTGTACATAAAATGAGGACAATTTACAGACAAGTACATGGAGGCTCCGCATCACAAGGAAAACGTGATCTGTATCTCACAGCAAGCAGTGCAAGGTCTTTTGAGACTTTGAGTCCCAGCTCCTTCTAGAATACCACGGCCTCAAGTAAGAGGTTTCTATCATTTCCTCTCTTAGAGACATTGTATGGCACACCAGAGTCCACTGGTTTGAAAGTTTGGTTGTATGACCTCTGAGGGCTCTTTTTAGAAAACCAAACAGAGAGGATTTTGACAGGCCACCTTCTTGCATCCCGATCTCTGGGTCTGACAGATCCAGTTTCATCTAGGTGTGTTCTTAGCAACAGGGCTGACAAGCTTTACTAATTTTGCCAAATTTGCGGAGAGCAGAAGCTTTTATCAGCAAACAACCCTCAGGGATAATTAGAGTCGGGAAATTTTCTTTCCCAGTCACAGGAAGAAAACCTGAGCTGTACTAAGCAGAATGAAATATACACAAGAAAGAAACTTGCAGAAACCACAACTTACTAACCCCTCTCGGATCGCTAGAGTAAATAATAACTGTATTACTCCTCAGCTTTTCTTTCCAACAGAGGAAACAGCCCGATAAAGAAATGCAAAGCACCGTCTCAACATTCCCACACATTAAAGGGTTCAAGCTGTTCTGAATGTAAGGGCAAATGAAATGTAAAACTACAAAGTTTTTGTAGGCAGGTCAACATAAATGATAAATTTTTTATCATAGATGAAGATCACACTGGTTATCAGGGCTGTCAGACTGGGCTGCTGCATTCCAAAAATGGTTGCTTCTCACTCTGAGCTGCCAAGCCTAACCTCCTACTTTCCTCAAAACAACGCAAAGTCTAACAGCAGCAGACACTTCTAGCTATATGACCCAGAACGGTTCACTTAACCTCTATATAGTTTGAGTTTTTCTAAAGTAAAACAGAAGTAACGCCTACAGTAAGGACCAAAGGAGAACATAATTTAAGCCATGGAACTATGTAATTCAAGCCTTTCTACAATCACTAAACTACAACAGGCACAGATGGTAGTGCCGTTCAGGACAGTGGCCTGTGAGGTCAGGGGGTTCACGGTCCTGTCTTTAGGCCAGAGGACTCACAAATGGTCCCAAATGAATATATAGCAGGGCATGTCAGAGGTCACAGAGCTGGTGGCTTCCTCATTTCCTCACACACAGCAGGCAGCTGGCTGTGGATCTGAGGATCACAACAAATCATGGCTGAAGTTGAAATGAAAAAAAGAAGCTTCAGTCTCCAAAAGTGAGTCCTGACAAATGCTGAATATTGGGATTACTTCTGGACCCAGGGAGAATGAGTGGCTGTAAGGTTAACACAGGGAAATTCTCAAGTCCTCTGCACTTTCCACTCTAGGGAAAACCTCATTTCTTATCCCTTTCTGGTGAGAAGAGACACTGCTACAAATCTTGGTAAATGATTTGCTAACCCTTTGTAGCCAAATCCCAGGCTGGGAAAAATCTGGCCAAAAAACAGTCCCACTGCTGGGAAATAACACACCCAGTTTTTAACAAGGCCTATCTACCTGTGGAAAGGAGGGGATGCCACACACACACCTTTCTCCTCACCATGTAGAAGCACATGGCTTGGAGGAACAGAGTAAGGTTTCTGAATCAGACCCACTCAGCCACTTACTAGCCAAGACTATGGTGAGGGCATTAAAGGTGACATATACAAAGCCCCTGGCACCAAGTCTGGCTTAGAGCAGGCAATCTTAATAGCAGCTAATCTTATCAGGTAATGAGAGCTTTCTACAGGCTCTGGGATGAGGTCATGCTAATCCTCCTCATCTCTTCTCTGCATCTGTCATTAAGCCATGAATAACATATGTTGCTGATTAAAGTTGGAAGAGACATGACATGTGATCCTTAAACCAGAAGGACAGGGATTAGTTTCTTGCTGTTTTGTTTTTTCTCTTTTCTAAGCTGAATCTCCAACATAGTCGAAAGCATCAGAATAATGAGGATATAAAAAAAAAAAGGATCTCTGCTTAGCCAGAAGCCCAGTTCCCCCAGAAAGGTACCCTTTATGGAAGGAATTCTTCTAATTTAATTTTGGGTGCATTCTGAAGGGGAGAAACAAAATGCTGAGAAGACAGTAAAAGTTTTAGTCAAAAATTAAATACCCCACAATCCTTTTTTAAAAAGTTTTTTTTGTTTTGTTTTGTTTTTAAGCAACTCTAAATATCAGAGGTATTTTTGGCCATTTTCTTCTACATTTTTCTGAAGGAAACTTGACAAAGAGCTAAATACTTCTAAAACTGACTTTGAAAACTGCTTTATTCTCATTTTATTAATTCTTCAGCCAAACTTTTCTTTTACTCGCAGTTGAATGGCCTGCCTAATATTTGGAGCTTAACAGTGCTCTCTGCCCTGTACATGGAAGGAAAGCGTGGCACATGCCAGTACAGCAACCACCGGGTCTGCACCACTGGGCCTCATCTTCACACTCTCCTTATACCATCTCCACCTTTTACTCTGGCTTCCCCAATTCTAAAGCTTTATGCTGTTTGCATGTGTTGAGGTTCCACTGAATGGTTTCATGCGGGGAAACAAGATGATCAAATGTGTGGCTTTAGAAAGTGAACTCTGATCGTGGTGTAGAAGATGGACAGGAGGGGGCTGGACTGGAGGCAGGGAGAACGGTGAGAGGACGGGTGCAAGAGCCGAGCTGAGAAACAATTACAGGAATTAATGCAGTGCAGTATGGGGAGAAGAAAGAACAAGAGGAGGGAGAAGCAAGAGAACCTGGGACTGACTGACTAACTAGGAGATAAAGGGAAGGGAATGACTTCTGGGCTTCTAGCTTGGGACACTGGACCAGGAGGGTAAGAGAGAGCGAGCATGCGGGAAAGTGCACATGCACTCCATTAACCAAGAGAAGATACAGGAAAAGGAGGTTAAAGGGTGGGAGTGGGGGGAGATAAACACCAGAGTCATGCCGAATCTAATGTTTTTACCTGGTTGGCAATAACCTCTACAGGGAAGCAATGGCCAGAATAGTGTAGGACATCGGGGACACAAGGAGCTGCCAAGTCATAGCCCCAGACCCGACAGAAGGAATTGAATTTTCTCCAGTCCTTCCCTTTCCCGAAGTCCACACTAACTAGCATCAAATTGGTGAGGTTTCTTTTCACTTACAGAATGGGTGGTCTGGCAGTCTTTTCAAGTAATGGCAGTTCCTGGCTTGTCTGAGCTCAGCCTTTAGGACCCTTTCTACATCTCAGACCCAGAAACTAACCCGCCCAAATTCAAGTCTCCTTCACTCACCAGCTGGATCTCAACAGCAGTCACTGGCCTGTGATTCAACAGCTGAAGCTTTTCAGCTCTGTCAAAAGAAAAGTACAGAGCACTTAAAACTCTCATACCCCTAAGGATTTTGAGTCTTGACCAAGCTGTTTAGAGAACACTTTGTCAGATAACAAATGGAAGAACAACTTGGAACATGGCCCTCAGTTTCTTCAACTGTAAAACAAAAGAACGGGAGTAAGAGAGTCCTATATCAGTGACTCTTACTCAAGGGCACAAATGTGTATTAGAATCCTAATGGTACAGAGGCTTGGATTACAAGAAATGCATTGATAGCAGATAGCACAGGTGTAGTTTTAATAAATTTTATTTGGAAAATGTGAATAATGCTTTCTTAATCCAAATTATAGAAAGTAAAAGATTGACAAAATCATCTTGGTTGGTCATCACTTAGAAATGGTTGAGAATTCCTTTTTGAGATTAAGAGTAAATGTTATTCAGACTTGGCCTGTTATCTTAGTAAACAAAAACAAGGGCTCTACGGGGACAGGAGTTAATACACAGTAGTATAAGACACAGTCTTCTGCCCTCAAAGAGCTTACAATCCAGTTGGGGAAAGAAGACAAATACAAGGAAATTTCAACAAAAGATTTAAGTAACAGTGAAGATACTCGTTATCATCTGTCACAATTTACAGCTCCTTGCTGAAGGGGTGGTTGAAATGTGTGGACTCTCAAAGATGACAGGACTTGAAAGAAAGTAGCTTCAATTACCACCCTTGTGCAGGTGACAATTTCTACATTTCTCTCTCAATCTGACCCTGGAGCTCCAGCTTCATCTTTCTTTCTTTCTTTTTTTAAAAATTTATTTATTTGTTTGTTTGTTTGCACCAGGTCTTAGTTGCAGCAGGCGGGCTCCTTAGTTGTGGCATGTGAACTCTTAGTTGCGGTACTCATGTGCGATCTAGTTCCCTGACCAGGGAACAAACCCAGGCCCCCTGCACTGGGAGCACAGAGTCCTACCCACTGCACCACCAGGGAAGTCCCTCCAACTTCATCTTTCAATTCAATAAACAATTCTGGAATAAAGTGATGAATAAGCCACAATTTCCACAGCCAGGTGTTTGGGGAAGCAGTACCAGATACCCAGTTCTCCCTAAGCCTTGGTTTCACCACCTGTCAAACAGGAATGACAACAGTACTTACTGATCTCATAAGGAGATTATGAGGGATGAAAATCTTACCATTTATAGCAGGAGCAGCTACCATTTACTGCATACCTTCCATATAGCAAGCACATTTAACCCTCAAACTTGACATTGAGATGGTAAAGAAATACTTTGTCCAAGGTTACACAGCTAGTAAATGGCAGAGCTGGGACTCTGCGATGAAAGCCCATGTCCATAACCATTCATAGTGTTCATAATGACGACCCACACAGTAATTTCCCTGTAAACGGTAGTCACAGTAAAAAGGCGGCTATAGTTAAACTCCACTCCTCACAGTCCCCCAAACATTCACTCTAGACTTCAGAGAGGAGACGACTCTTGCACTGCGCCCTTAAGGATTTTCTAGGCAAAAAGGAAAAGAGGAATGGGCGGTCAGGGAAGGAACAGTACAAGTAAACACCCAGAAGAACAAAAATTCATGGAGTTTCAGGAAATGGCTGCTAGAGAGGCTGTGGGACACAGGTTGAAAAAGCCATCTGGGACAAGGTCACAAAGGGCCCTGACTACCAACAGGACAGATGTTACTCTGTAGACACTGGAGAGCAACTGAAGGAAGGAGTGGCTTGCTGGGTCTAGAACACCTGAGAAAATGGAGGCAGAGACACTGTAATACTCAAAAGTTGTGAACCTGGGCAGCAGTAGCAGCAGCAGCAGGAAAGGAAATGAGAGTCTGGACCTGTGAAATGCTCCTGGTCACCTTCAGGTACAGTCAACAGGACCTGACAACTGCCTAGGTTGGGTCGGGGGGTGGGGTGAAGGAAATGCGAGAGTTAAGGCTTACTGTCAGATGTTGAGCCTGTTTGGAAAAAATGTATTAATTGAAAATTTGAATTTGAGTTTGTGGTACTTTTGGAACCACAATGAAGAGGTCTCAGTCGAACAGCCTGTCTAGTTTTAGTTCTAGTTTGGTCTAGAACTAAAGAAAAAGAACAGAGCTGGCTTTATTATCAAGGAGTTATGTGAAACCACGAGAGTGGAAATCGTAGTCCAGAGACCAGCTGCTGAGTAAATGAAGACCCAGACAGAACACCATAAAACACCTCCATTCAAGGGGCCGGGAGAGAAATCAGCAAAGGAGCAAGGAGTGAAAAGAGAAAAAGAAAACTTAGGAGAGTGGTGTGATGGAAACCAAGAGAGGAAAAGTTCAGGACAGAGGGTATTATCAACAATGTCAAATGCTGAAGAGAGGAAAGTAGGTTAATGGTACAGAAGTCACTGGATTTGCCAAAAAGGAGGGCACTGGTGGCCTAGGCAAGTAGTTCAGTGGAATAAACAGTTACGGTGACAACTGGAGTGTGGGGACTGGGGAATAACTGTGGAGGAAATACCTCTTTTTTTTCTTTGTAATTCAATTATCATCACTTTATTCAAATCTTCAAAACAGTCTTTATTCTACATTTTTAGTATAAAAAACCCATAAGACAGATGCACCACAGTGCAGCTAAAGACATACAACACTGAACTTCCACAACAAACATAACATGTAGAGAACGCAAAATTTAGGTCAACTGAAATTATAAGATAAAATAAAATCCAATTTCAGAAAACAAAAATCAAAAGATTAAGGATCCCGAAATATTCTTAGCCCTAGTGAGATTTCACTGGACTCAAGTCATTTTGGAGTGAGACATTCACAATATGACCCCATTAACCCAGCTTAGGAATTCTTGGGAGCCATGAGTGGCCACATCAGGCACTCTGACAATAAACTGTAACCAATTTGTGATCTGAAAACTCCCCTTAATTTGGCTCTAAAGTCATCAGGCTTTTCAAAGGCATCCTCCTTGTCGCCCCTCTTATTTTAAACTGTTTCAGTACAGTTTCTATTGATATGCTTTGATATCAGGAAAAGTTGTTTTTCTGGCAACAAAGCAAATTTGGGTTTGGTTCATGTATAAAGAGATGATCTTTAAGGAGGGTCCAAAGGCACTCTCCACTTCTGCCTAAGGAGATCCAAAGTGGAAATAAAGGGGTCTGTGCTTAGGGCACAGAGGGAATCTCAGAGGATCCTTGTAAAAGACTAGTTAAAAGACGACAAGTGGGAGAAGTGCAAGGAGAGAAGGAAATGGGTCTGACTGCTTTCTGTCCTGCACCACTGATTCAATGGAGACTGGTGGGAGGGAATGGAAGACTAGGGTAAAGGGTGGGATTAGGGCAAAGGGTGGAAAGGAAAAGGCAGACAACCAATGTGTTTCATTTATAACAAGTAATAAAAATCAAAGACTTACAGGAGATTAAAGACCAATCAGAATAATCTGGCAACTTTAATCAGAAGATCAAAGTTCTCTCCAAACCTAATTTCATGTTTTATTACTAAAAGCAAAGACCAGTATGGTACAGTATTACTCCAGAGAAACTAAAGGAAGGTCCCTAGGGCTGCTTCACTCACATTCATTTTATGAATGGATACACCCCCCTATATCAAAATGCTTCAGGGCAGTAATGCTACTACTATATATATGGTTTCTTATTAAGTTTGAAAAGTGATTGGAAGTTTGGGCACCAGAAAGACACCTCAACAACATGTGTCTAAACCGCAACTTCAGGTTAATGTGACTAAAGCAGTTATATTGTGAGAAGCTATGTGATGTCTTTCCTGGCACAGAGGTGGCCTTGGTTCCTCACCGGATGGTGTAGTCACCATCTGAGCCACCCATGGAGAAGTTTCTCTTCCACTGAGTTACAAGGACATGGGCTCCCTGCATGACTGCAAGCTGCGCAGTGGGAGGATACCCAGTGCTGTAGGAGGAACCGTGCCAGCAGCAGCCTCAGCTCCAAATCTGGAACCTTCATCACACCCTCCTCCCACCGGCACTGTTGAACCACCTGGAGATGGGACCAACCAGATACTAAGCCATGGGGACTCTGCAACCTAAAAGGCCAACGGCCACAGACTAGGCCGTGGGAAGATACCGTGAGGTGCCAGGAAAAGCAGCTGACACGGTGGGGACTGTGGCAGCCCCTGAGTGCACAAAGCTTGGATGGCAGACCTCTGAGCAGGCAGGTGAAGCATCAGTACAGGGTGGAACCTGAGGAAGATGCAAGGTCTGAGAGTACACAGGATTCCCAGGAGGCTGCGCAGGGTAGGCTGGCTGTGGTGGATACTGACCCCTGCCGTTCATGGAGGCTGTGGGTCTGGTTCAGCTCAGTGTCATGGACAGAAATGAGCTCTTGACAGGATAGAAGTAAAAAAGCAATTATGGCCTGAGGAGGGCAGGTTCTGAAGGGAAACTGAAGCATGTTTGTCGGCTAAGAACACAAGCAGGTGGAGAGGCTGAAATTACAGGAGAGAAAAGAAAAGACCCTCAAAAAAAACAAAAGTTCAAAGTTTCCGTGAAAAGGCTCATGTTTCACTGAGATCACAGCAATGGGGAAAGAAAAAGCAAATTTAAGGAGATGTGAAGGGACGTGAGTTCATTTTGGATAGTTTTCTCAGTGAAGCAAAAGTGAGGTCACCATCTGAGAGGTCTGGACGTGAAGAGGGTTAACAGGACTAAAAGCTGCAGAGAATCGAGTAAGGAGGAGACTAGGAATAAGACTAGGAATAAGCAAGCAGCTTTGAAGGACCAGCTGAGTTGGAAAATATGAATCCTCACTCAAAACAAAATTATTTATTTTAACCACCATCATCTAACAGCATGAATAAAGAATAAAGAGTAGGAAAAGACATGGCTGAATAAATGAACATCTCAGCTACAAATCAATCAAAGCAACAGAACTCAGTTTATTGAACAGTCATTATCCTGCCAGGCTCTGAAATGCTGGAAATGTTCCTACAGTTGCAAAAAGGATAAGTCTTCTACCGACAAAATCATTACAGCTACTCCCTGAAAAACCCCAACCTGGAGTCA